TTTATATATATATATATTAGCGATGCACCGATACCATTTTTTCCAGACCAAGTACAAGTACCAATACTTGTCCTCACAGATACCAATTACTGATACCTTTTTGTTTATTGTCCTGTGACAGTTTTTCTAAAACAATACAGACTAATGATTTCAGGACAGTGGTGGAGCGCCAGAGTCCAGTCGCAGCTGCAACCCCTGCAAACCCTGGTAGTTTTCGTGAAAATGCCAAGTATCAGCGCTGGGATATGACCTTATCTGTGCATCCCTACAATTAACAATACCAAAATAAAAACATATGAAATAAATAACCTAATGACTGTTGGTTATGAGAAGGGGTCTTTGGTGTCCACTAGCTAAAAGAAGGCTTTATTAGAAAAATCCACCATTTCCCCAGATGCACCCGCACCGGATCAAGAATAGCTCCAGAACTGGCTATTCCCGACTTCCCAAGGGACTGAGCCTCCTGTTGACACCACTGACAGCAAAGGGGAACACCATACCAACAGATGGGTCCCCAATTTTCAACCATCTTAACTTTTTTCACAGACTCTCAAAGACCCCCTAACCCACCAAGCTGCCGTGAAAAAAAACAAGCAGATAACTCATCCATTGGCATCGTTTACTCATCCATTGGCAATGGTTAACGTTTAGGTGGGACCTTCTTCCTTCATTAACCTTCCGGAAAGAACTCCCAGTAGCCCCTACAGGTCCTACCCCACTGTGGCTTCTCCCTACCACCTGACCCTCACCTCTAATCAAGTAAGACGTACTGTTTTTTTCCAGCTCTAATCTTGAATGTTTTCCTGCGGAATATTCCTTCCCCTAGTCATGTAGCCCTACTGCGTATTTTCTCCGGGTCTGTCGAAAAACACAGTGGCAGGTAAACTGACTTCTATTCAAAACTGGTGTTAGAGAACAACTGGGGTGTATGACTGCTGTAAGGACATTTTATTGTAATCCTTGGAACAGTTCATGAGAAATAGCAGCTTCATGCTTCATTAAATGGTGTTAAAGCATAGCGTGTTTTAGTGAGCAAATATTTTCTTGGCATACATTGGGCCAGTGATGCTATCATATCAATATGGACCAAAATCTCTGAGAAATGTTTCCAACACCTTGTTGAATCTATAACACGAAGAATTAAGGCAGTTCTGAAGGCAAAAGGGGGTGCAACCCGGTACTAGCAAGGTGTACCTAATAAATTGGCCGGTAACTGTATTCCCCCTTGAGAAGAGGCAGCTAAAAATGTATATCCTTCCCCCACAGGAGCTTAGTTCTTAGTAGATTGTTCATAAAAAGCTGGATTTGATTGCCTTTAGGGGGTACGAAAGGAATAATTTTTAATATTTTTTCGTGTTAGAGCAAACTGGACCCTAGTTGGTACTTTTTTGGCTTCCCTGCAGATCAACTAAGGTTTTAGGGATTTGATGGAGCAAGTTTCTTTATTTGAACCCATTTAACTTCTTACTCTGATTATATTCATACGCTGTTAAATTTGTTTGAAGAAAAACATATGTTATTTTAAACTGTATTTCCTGCATGTGCTACTTACAACACCTGCAGTCACAGCTGCCATTTCCTCACCAGTCACTGCTACCCAGTCAACATTACAGCAGTTTATATACACAAATCCTTTATGTGCAGCAACAATAATTATGTATGATCTCAGCTTCACACGACTCTGGATGTCACTTTTTACAATAAGACTATGGACTTCGTTTATAAATCTTATAGCTAAACACCTTATCAGCACTAGTGTTGTGCGAATGGCATCTGCCCGGCCTATAGCTATAACTTTTATCAATGAAGCCCTATATATATTTCAAGTCTGTATATATACGCACCGATCAGCCATAACATTGTCCACCAGCCTAATATTGAGTAAGTCTGCCTTTTGACACCAAAATAGCCCTGACCCATCCAGGCATGGACTCTCTGAAAGTATGTTGTGGTATCTGGCACCACACCATCAGTAGCAGATCCTTTAAGTTCTGTAAGTTGCGAGGTGGGGCCTCCTTTGCTCTTCCCGTGCCTCAATGAGCATTGGCCGCCCATGACCCTGTCACCAGTTCACTAGTTTTACTTCCTTGGACCACTTTTGGTAGATTCCGCCAATGCAGACTGGGAACATCCCACAGTTTTGGAGTATCTCTGACCCAATCGTCTAGACCTGTGGTTCTCAACTGGTGGGTCGAGATCCAAAAGTGGGTTGAAGCCCCATGTTCAGGTTCCCCTAGCACAACACTGTAACCTCAGCCTAAACTCTAACTCTTAATCTCAACCTCGTCACCTTACTCTTTATTTGGGCCCAGCTCCTAAACCTAACCTACATCCTAACCTCTGAACTTACACTTGATCTTAGCCAAAGACCATATAAAAGGTACTGGGACTTCATGTCACTCACAAGTGATAAAACCCCGATGGAGATTCTAACCCTTTGCTATTCTATCAAACATTAAAAAAAAAATGTTTTGCCTATAGATACACTTTAATGAGTAACAATTAATAACTGCAACTATTGTATTTTTATAATATCTGATTAGTATTCATTTTTATCTTGTGCTTTGTTCATCAAATGGCAAGATGTTGTCACATTACATGTCTAGTTCAAACATGGGAAGTTGCATGAATGGAGCAATCTTTCCATTTTGCAATGTGACTTTAGTTGGAAACATTTACTGAGAAGTTTAAGAGGTTACATTCCTCATTAGTAATGGCCTTCTCAATTGTAATGGGCTTCTCAGTGCATACAAGTGGAGGTTTATATGACGCAAACACTGGATTCACTCTTTCTTAAAACAGGCCTGGGAGAACAACTGGATGTTCTCTGCAGCTTGTCCAAAGCTCTGTAAGCTGTTTGCACATTTTTAAAATCATATCTCCCAGATGATGCTACACAAATTCCTGTTACCATGTAAACCTAAAACATGGCTTCAAAGCAATGTAAATCAATGTAAAGCAAGCAAAATAAGTCAGAACATGTGCTTCCATTGCTAATCTCCTGAAAATGCTGATTTCTTGGCTGTCAAGCTGTCACTGATAGAGAACAAGTATTTGCCAGTGAGATCAGAATTCATGATCCGCTCACAGAACATTTCGAGCTAGAAGATAAGCATATCAGCCTGCCATTAAGCATGTTCAGGATGGAACCAATGGCAGCCTATGTATTTCTACTGATAGGATTCCTTAAAGTGTATGTAATTGCAAAACTTTTTTTATTGTTTTTGTTTTGGATAGAGTAGGGGAGTATATACCCTCTATTCAGTTGTTACTGCTGTCTGCATCCCTGCTGGGAGAAAAGTGCCTCAACTTTTGTGTTGGCGACCACTGTCGCTGAGACAAAAGTGAGGGGAAATCGCAAATTGTTGAGCTGTCACCAGAGCAAGAGTTGAAGGCAAATCATTCATGAAGACACATGTTTCAGTTACAACTGTCTAAGGGGGGACAGGGGGACACAGGCAGCAAAAAAATTATCTGATAGGCCTAAAAACTGTTAGAAGGCTAAAGTAAAAGTAGACAAACGATAAACAAACTTGGTTAAACAATTTGCAATGTTTCCTAATATAGCCTTTTAGAGGACTACATATTTAGAAGTAAAATATTCCCTGTTACTTTCAGAGTTGCAGATAGAACCCTAATAGACCTTTTAGCACCTCTTGCAGGGGAGGTGGTTAGATGACACTGTGCAAACCATGCATTGCATATTGTGGTGTACTCCAGATGTGGGTGTGGTTTTAAGAGTTGAGGTTAAACAGCAACAGACTTCTCAGCTAAGAGTTGCTAATCCATTGACATGCCTGCTTATGGTACAAGCCCGTGTTCATGTCAGCCATTGGTAAATCAAAATAAAAAATCAAAGACTTTTTGCAGGAGAGCTGATTTAACGGGTCAATCCACTCAAAAATGATACATTAGTTGTTAGTGACACCTAGTACGCTGAATAGGTTGCTGCCTTCTTAAATGGGATGGATACTCCACCAGAGAGATAGCCCACCTGGGAGTTTTGAGTTTTCCTGGCAACCTTTGCATGTTTCAGCTAATGCTGTTGCATCCTAAATAAAGTGAAGCAAAAGAGAAAAACAGCAGGGAGAATGGTATCCCCTCATAATTATCATAGCAAGTGTGCAGACCCAAGAAGATATAAGAATCTGTTGGGTAATTTAACTCTCCAGCATCTACCAAAAACATCAAATCTAAATTTTGGTGGGATTGACCCTTTAAATACACACAGCATCTGTTATGGATTTGTTTGTGAACAGTGAGGCAACTCCAGGCCAAGAGAGCATTTTTTAGTACAAATCTGTTATATTGGGTGCATACTCTTATGATTAAAGACCTTTCTAAACATAGAAAGCTTTTTGGAAATTTCTGCACAAGTCAGCCCACGATATTGATTGAGTGAATTGAATATACAGTATGTTCTCGCCATTATCTCCTATTAAATTACCCCTTTGGAGAACTAGAAGGAAATTAGTGGTCGATTTGCTGGTAGACACATGCCAGAAACGTGCTTACTATGTGGCTTCTTTTATCTAGACTCATACTTTTTAACACATTTTGACCTCCTATATGTAATATAGAGCAGGGGTGGGCAAACTACCGCCCTCCAGCTGTAGTGAACTACAAATACGATCATACATCTGCTTCTGGGAGACTTCATACGTTTCTGAAAGCATCTGTATTTGACTAACTGGTGTGCCATTGACTACACCACCAGCATTTTGGGCAGGTGACAATTTAAATGGTGGTCCAAAGTATAAGAACTTTTGAATTTCTGCTTTTTCTAGACTCTCTGCAGTGAATGATTTGTGATTGGTGGGAAGAGGAGAAGTAAACCCTGCAAGGGTGAAGGCTCAAGCCTCAATTGAAACGTGCACCATGATTAAAGCTGCATGAAAAATGTGTGATTATTCCATTTATTTTTGAGAATATAACCTGGTTTCTTCATTAATCATGGTTAATCAACCACACGGTACAAAAGAAAAACTAGCCCTGGACCTCCTGTTTGTCCCTATAGTTTAAGTACTTTTTGGTAGCTCTGACCTTCACCACATCCTAAAACTGGCCCTGCCTGTTTACCTATGCACATAATAATAACAACCGTGTATCCAACTCCAGCCACTCAGAAGTAAGAAAAATCAATGACATCCTGTAGTTAACACTTCCATAGGTGTGACTAAAAGTGACAGCTGAAGTGCACCATGACTGATATGAGGATGAAAATGAGTAAGAGAAAGTGTGATTGTGATTTTTCTTAACTTTTACCTTTATTTTTATTTTTTTAATTATACCAGACATTTTTACAACCATATACACACCATAGATATAAACAGCAAAGAATAACAGAGAAAGAAAAAAAACAAAAACATAAAAACATACAGATATCATTTCTCAATGTACCAATTTAAATACCGTATTTTTCCGTGTATGAGACGCTACTTTTTCATTAAAATGTTTACCTACTAATAGAGGGGCGTCTTATACACGGGGGCCGAGAGGAGAACCGCGGTTGCGAAACTGCCGAAAGTGCCGATACCACTGCAAACTACCGTAGCCTCACAAGTGAAACTTCGGATTGCAAAGACAAGATAAGTTTTCCTCCAATCATAAATCTTTTGTACCTGACGTCAGCTGTTGCTGGGGAGAGTGGCTCTGTAATCCGCTCTCCCCAACAACAGCTGACGTCAGGTACAAAAGATTTATGATTGGAGGAAAACTATTATCTTGTCTCTGTAATCCGATCAGAAATATTTTGTACCTGATGTCAGCCGGCGCTCGGGAAAGCGTGTAGCCAGTGCCCGGAGCTGTAATGTCGGAGCATAACGTGATTGAGGTAAGTGCGATGCATTATACCATTTAAAATGTTGATTTAGGAATTTTGGGTAAGAAAAGTTGGGGGCGTCTTATACATAGGGGCGTCTTATAGACGGAAAAATAGAGTAAATTGCATCTTTTTCACCAATACACTTAGGAAAAGAGTCTCACATTATACATGTACGCCATCACTATATTCATTCTACTTATCCCACATTCTACCATATTTGTCCATAATACCTCGATGATTATAAATTATTTTTTCGAACATAACCACTCTATCTAGTTCTTTCCACCATACCCTATATTTATTACATCCAATATTTCTTGCCAGTACCGTTTCAGCTTCGGACATCACCAAAGCAGGTGTACCACATTTTGGGCATTTGGAATTTTCACTGAGTCCTATCTTATACGGGAACTCTGGGGTCTGATATGTTCTATTTATAATATAGAGTGGTGTTCATCTATGTGAAGCAGAAGGTGAGACTAATTGGGTTGATTGCAACGCCACCCTCCAAAGAGTGTCCTCTAGTGGTCCCAAATCCAATTCACAATCTTCTTTACATTTCAAAGGTGATTTGCTTAAACCCCGGGTAATAGGTTTGAATACAATCTTGAAATCACCCCCTTTGTAGTAATTGCATGAAAGAGCTTATCTATAACCATATTTGCGCTAATACATACATCTCGCAGTCCTGGATGCACCGTAAGCGCATGTCTCAGTTGCAAATATTTATAGCATTGGGTATTAGGTAGTGAATATATCGCTTGCAAATGCTGAAAGCATCACAGTACACCCTGATCATACACTTGTGCCAATGTCAACATTTTTCCACACTCCAAATCCTTGAAGTTTGCTCACCTCATACAGTTCCCCATTTTCCCATAATGCAGTATATATTGTAGGGATGTCCCAATGCCACTTTTTCAGGCCCAAGTACAAGTACATCCCCTCATGTACTTGAGTAAACCTGGGGATACCCAACAAACCTTTAGATGATCTCCACAGTTTACCAATTAATCTTATAGTATGAAGTAGGGCTGGTAACTATTAAAATGTTCGAAGTAGAAAATAAATAAAATGAAGTAGGATCACACTAATCCATCACGTTATTTATCTCAGGTGCCCCACTCAATATGGCTGCCGCTTGAGTGGGGCAACTCAGAATAATAACGTGCTGGATTAGTGTGATCCTAGTTCATTTTATTACCTCATTGCTGTGCTGTATGTGTATAGGCCAATGCCTTGGCCTATATGGTGTAGTTGTACAGGTAGCGGGCACATTAATGGATTGATCGGAAGAAGCATTGATTTGTTCCAGTTTACACACAACCCTGAAAACTTCCCAAATTCCGAGAGTATAGACATCACCTCTAATAAAGAATGGTTGGTATCTGCTAGGAAAATCCAAGTGTCATCCGCATATAGTAGTATCTTATCCTCCTCTTTACCCTGCTTAAATCCCAATATCTTAGGTGATCTTCCTAATGGGTTAGCTAACGGCTCTATCGCCAATGCAAATATCAGGGGAGATAGGGGGAACCCTTGTCTGGTTCCCCTCGTCAAATTAAAGACCGATGTAAAGGCTTTGTTCACTTGAATTCTTTGTGATGGATTAGCCTATAATATTTGGATATATGAGATGAACCGATGACCAAATCCAAATGCCGTAAGTATTGCCCATAAGTAGTCCCACTCTACAGTATTAAAAGCTTTAGCAATATCTAAAGATAGTGATTGTGATCTTTGATGACATGGCTTGATCAACAAAACCATTGATCACCTGGTCAATACTTACAACATGATCAGTGGCTTTCTTGGCAGCTGTGACTATGTTTTATCTTAGATACCTCTGATGGGCATTAAGAAATAAGTACTTTTCCTAAAGAAGACAGGTCCAGGATACTTTAAAGAAGCTTCCCTAACACTCAGGAGCCATTTAAAGCCTATTTCACCCTTAAAGACCATTTTAATTTTTCCTTCCATATTTCTTCAAGGTTTTTTTCCTAATTGTGACATTTCTCTGATATGTTCCAGATTTCACCTACATTTCAGTAAAGTAAAACTCCCCAATTTTGCTAATTGTGATTAAGAAGCATTACAGTGCACTCAGGAAATGGCTCACATATGCGGTTGCAGTGTTTTTTTTATACTGGGTGGTGTCTGATGACACACATCCTCATGAGTGGCTGTGAGAAAGGGCAGAAAAGCACAGGGCTGTATGGACAGGATTTAAGGAAGCATAGGGGAGTCCACTAAATAAAAACCCAGCAGTAACTAAAAATAGTGTGAACTGTGTGCAACCTGCAAACATCAAATTTAAACATACTTAGGTTAAACATAGGTCTAAACTCAGATAAAAAGGTTAAAAGAAATGTTAAAGGAAATAAACATAAAAGGCCCGACTCGATGGACCACTTAGTCTTTTTCTGCCATCACTGTTCCATATTTCTTTGTTTCTACATATTCCTAAATTAATCAATCTGGTTTAAATGTCAAAACTAATAGATTGATTTTCATAATGTTTGCTAATATACACATCAGTTAGAGTGATGCTTATTAATGAATCAGCATATGCTCTGTAATAAGATAGCAGTAATGTCTAGTAAAGCTGTAGTAGCTGTAAAACCCCTAACTGCGTTACATCTCTAGCACAGGCCCTTGTAACAAGAAGTAAGGAAAGAAAAAAATATTCAAAAAAATGTTTTTATGTAAGATTTTTTTATGGTTCATGCTGCAATGGAAGGCCACGAGAGCTGCTGGTTGGACATCAATGGTACAGACATAATTAGGGTTGCACAGATACCAAGTACAGTGCTCGGTACAAGTACGAGTACATGTACCGATACTTATGAGCTCCAACACTACACTAGAGAAAAATTCAAAAGTTAGGAGGCGGCTGTCATTTGTAAGGAGCACACAGAGCTCCCGGGATTTGTACATCTCTGTTTTAATGTAAGATTTTGTTTTTATAAATATAAATAGAGGGATGCACAGATACCAGTTTTGCGAGTACGAGTACTGGTACTTGCCGAGTACTTACAAGTACAAGTAAGGATACATTTTTGTTTATTGTCATGTGACAGTTTTTCTAAAACAATACAGACTAATGATTTCAGGACGGTGGTGGAGAGCCAGAGCCCGGTCCCAGCTGCAACTGCTGCAACCCTGGTAGTTGTCAGAAAAATGCCAAGTATCTGCATTGGTACTCGAAAAGTATCTGTGCATCCCTAGACATAATTTCAGGCATCAGCACAATTGCTGTAACTTCTTTTAAGGGGGAATTCTAAATAGCCAATTTCTAGTGTCCTGCAGAAATAATTTACACTACTGCAAATCACAGCATGTAAGATCAGACATTATATACGTGAAATTCTGGGAATTCAGAACCAGTTCTAGAGTTCTTAGCACACATTACACACTTTTTGTTAAAGTAAATGTTCTACTTTCAATATGCCTTCTAACAGCCCACGCGTTCATATGCTGGGTAACGTTTGTTCTAGTCTCATTATTAGGAATCAAGTAAATTGAATTGTTCTTATAGAGTTGATAAATGCAGTATATTTAAATCACCATACAATGAAATGAAATAAAAACTTACCTTCTTGTTCTTCTTGGGTATATCCTTAGTGTCTTTTCAGTTCCTCTGTTACACTGACTTTCTGAAGAAGTTTGTATGTGAACTCAGAGATCTATCAGTGACATTACCGTTCCTTTTTTACAATGTCTCCTCCCTTCTTTCCGGTCTCAGTTGGCCCACTGTTTTCCTCTTTTATCTTGTAGCTGCAGTCTATCATTCATTTCTTTTCATCCTTTTTTATTTGTCTTGTATTTCAGTCTTGTGCACCTACCATTTCTGTCCCTAAAACATGTTCTTTATATGTGGTGAATTTACCCTTATGTACATTTCCTGTGTGGTTTCTGTTTTTTCACCTTTCCCCACAGCCTTCCTCTTTGTGACTCTGTGATCTCTTTAACACTTTTTAGCCTGTTTTAGTCTTCTTTGTAACCCTCCTTTGCCTGGTCTCTTTCCGGGACCTCTTAGTCTATTTGTCTTCAGACTCTTTACTCTTCTGCTTGGATTCAGCACAGAGATGTTCTCTTGTCTTCAGAGGCCTCCTTAGACCTTATTCACAACACATTTTGCTCATACCCCAGTTATTTCCAGTGTGCTGTGTTGTTCTGCTCGCCTTTGCTTTTGCTGTGTGATTAAACACTAAACCCACACCGATTTTGTCTTCTTCCTCCTTCAGCTTCCTCTCTTAGCAGTACTTCTCCTTTACAACAATTACAGTTTCTTATGGCCTGCATACTACAACTAGTACTTTAACTAGTAGACGATTCCAGTTGTGACAGTTTGGAAAATTGGTTGTCAGCTATGAGACATGCTTCCAGCACCTCTAGTAGACAGCCTCTTCCTTCTGATCAAGCTTGTCTGATTGCCCGAACATTATTGTTTAAAGAAATATCCTATATAATTAATATGTATTGCATGCTTGTCTCTATTTTATATCTTTATGTTTATTGGCTATTAGTTTGAATATTAATGTGTGTTAAGCCGGAAAACATCTACACTTTGAGGTTCCTTTTGTGCTGCTTGATTAATCATGGTCACCAACCACCTTTATATGTTCTAGCTCTTCTTGCTGCTTTCTTCTTAATCCATGATATAAAAGCGTGTGGGAGTGTGGGAACCCCTCATAATGTCCGCAGCAAATATGCAGACCCAGGAACCCAAGCACAGTTATCTTACCAATAGAACCCATGAGGGATATACATTTATTTTTGTCATTACTGCAAAGAGTAAAAATACAATGTTAAAAAAACACTTTTTTTTCTCAGTTGAGCAAATATGAACTATTGCATATGGATATTTTGTACTTTCCTTTTTTGCAGGTTAAGAACCTTTAAAGTTTTTTTAAATACGATAACATAGTTGTGCCCAAGAGGAAGTGGCTTGTTTCACAATCTGAAAAGACATGTTTTTTTATTGTCTCATAGCAACAAGTAGGTGTGTTCCACAGCAAACTCAAAAGTTAAATTTGGTTCAGGGACCACACTTTTTAGATGTGTCTTGGTGCAGCAGTTTAGCTTCGAAGTGTATTTGCAAATGTATGCAACAAAAACTTGTTTTTTTTACCTGAGTAGTTGAAACGGTTTTGTTTTTTGTTGGCTAGCTTGAAAGTGTGCCATGGACATTTGGTATTTTTATTGTATTCACATTTTCTCCTACTGACGTTTCTATTCACAGCAGCCAAACAAGTTTTGGCAAAGTCATGGTGGTCTTCCAACCTTACGATTGCATAAGTGAAACACAAAATGATGTGGTTTTTACTGAATGAAAAAAATGGCTACAATCCTTGATGAGTTTGTGCATAAGTTTAAATGAATCTGGACTCCATTATCTCTGGTGGAATGTTGACTGCTGGCACTTAATTAAGTGGGATTATTTCAACAGCTAAGCTATATAGGGACACTAGTTGGCATGGATCCTTCCACTAGATCCCACCCTGGCCCTCCCAGGTTGCCACCTGTCCGGGATTCACCCAGACAGTCCGGATTTCAGGCCAGCCGACACCCGGGCACAAAACACCAAGTGTCAATACCGGCACTTTAAATTTCTTGACAGATGCGGCTGCTGAAGTGGAGCAGAGGAGGTGAAATGCTTTTAGCTTGCTGTGATTTTGGTAGTTCTTTTGTATACAGCCATTTGCAGTAGTCTTCATTTTATGTAAGTAGATTTTAAATAAAATTAAGAAGTAAATCAACAGTCTACACCAGTGCTCCCCAACCTTTTTATCGCCGCGGACCGGTCAACGTTTAATAATTTTACCGTGGAACCACTGGTCTACACTATGGAAAAAAACCCCACCACAATAATGTTGTAAATGTATATAAAACTGATCAGCTTGGGGTGAGGTCTCAGCTCACATGAGTGAGTACTTTGGGAAGTGCCATTGTGGAGTTTACACTATGGATTCCATTTCATCTTCTGTAGTAAAATGCTAGAGGGCATAATAAAGGATTATCTGGTAGAATTTGTTCAGGAAAACGGGATAGTTAATGACAATCAGCATGGGTTCAGGAAAGGACGTTCCTGCCTAACTAACTTGCTAACTTTTTATGAGGGGGTAAGTAGAGATATGGACGGAGGTAAGCCGGTGGATGTGGTATATCTGGATTTCTCAAAGGCTTTTGATACGGTACCACACAAACGCTTGCTACACAAGCTGAGGGCTATGGGCATAAAAAAAGGGGGATATGATTTCCATGTACAAAATGTTTAATGGTGGCAGCAACATTAGCGATAAACTGTTTAAAATTAACTCCGTTACAAAAACTAGAGGCCACCACCTAAAATTGGTGGAAAAAAAATTCCAGCACAAGGGGCGAAGGGGGTTCTTCACAGTAAGATCAGTTAGGGTCTGGAACTCACTGCCACAGGCGGTGATTTCAGCAAATAATGTGGAATTGTTCAAGAAACTTTTGGACGATTTCTTAAGGGACCGTAATATACAGGGGTACGGGTACTCCTAGAATGAGATCCTAATAGGTTGGACTTGATGGACTAATGTCTTTATTCAACCTCAAATACTATGTAACTATGTATGAGTCACATTGTTGCGAAGAAAAGAAGTTTGTGATCTTTGGTTGCGTGGAGCTGAGGTGGGAGCAGAGAAACGAGCAGGACCAGCAGTGCAAATTTGACGCAGTGGAGTCAAAGCAGCTGACATGGAGAGCAACTTTTACAGCTGTATGAGAAAGGGTTTTATCCCGCCGACCAGCAGGCAAAGGGGGTCAGCGTTATCACATCTTGTTCATGAGGGTCTGATAAAGGTGAGGGACTGTCTTTTGGGAGCATTCACAAGTGGAGGTGAAATTGGTGTAATTAATAGCAGTGAAGTGTTGACAACCCTGCACACATTAACACACCGCAGATCATTTTTGATGCAGTGAGACTATTTTTCTTTGGATGCTGAAAAAGTATGTTTTATGTTTGAATGCATTTTTTTAATGATTGAGAAGACCTGTTATTAGTTTGAGATTTAATTCACTTGTCACTGTATGTTTGTTCATAGATATATTTGCTATATTGCCTGGTTCACACATGTTTAGATCACTAAACATTTACAGCGCGGCACATTGGGGGTAGTTTGAGAGTCCGCACAGCCACCTTAGACTCCACACAGCCCACCTGAGAGGCCGCATAGCCCACCTGAGAGGCCGCACAGCCCATTTGAGATTCCACACAGTTACCTGAGAGTTTGCACAGCCGCTGGCCCTTTCCATACCTCAGTCTAAACATTGGTCCATTGGAATGGTTATTTGAGCTAGGAGCTCTGGCAACAAGACGAGTTCCAGTCATTCTTATCTAACTTCACACCTTAGCACCAGCAACCCGCCTCCACTAACCATGCTAAATGTAAACTAACCAATAATAAGCAATCTGGAAATCTACTACTATGATACATATTCCCAACAGTATGGGAGGGGGAACCTAAGGTGACAGATTTCTGTTTTAACAGTGATGCATCACTTAAACTCCTGTGGCCGACACTGGTTATTATTGTTCTGTCATTTTGAAAACCTGTATTAAAAGTGTATTGAAACACTTTTTCTGAAGAACGTAAGCCCAGCGGAGTTGATTTACTGTCTGTACTGTACTGCCTGATGTCATTATAATGTGTAATGTAGATTTAAACACTGCTTGTCCTAACAAAGGGTTAAAGGATAGAAGCCTGGCTTCTACATGTTATGTATGTTAATGAGAGAAACACATTCCACTAATTTTCAGTCCAAAGTCTTTCTGTAAAGGACAGTTCACTGCGAAGGTGCTCAGAAAATCTTGGATTCAGTAATTTTGCCTGCTGCAACATCTAAAAAGGTAATACAGTATATATATATAAAAATTTGTATTATTATTTTCTATTATGTTGTGTGAATTGGAACACATAACATATAGGAGGGTTGGATTGTGGCAAACTTCCACTTTAATATTTTTTTTTTTTTTAATAATGCAAGCACCCTAAGTTGACTTAGCATCAGCCTTTTGCAGTACCTGTACAGAAAAGCTATGAGAGTGGGAGGAGGAAGAAAACCTGCATAAAGATAATGCTAACAGGAGGAGAGAACAGAGTAACATATACAAGCTAATCAGGGTGCTGCTTCTTTTTTTCACTGTCCAGTTACAGGGTGGGGAGAAGACTTGTAAGAGAAAGTGAAAATGCAGGTCCCCGCATTTTACCTGTAGACTCTCTCCTCCGCTCTGGAGTCTGCAAGCATAACATGTATGTTATGACAATTGTGTGACAATTGTTCCTGGGTTATGTTAACCCGGTTGTCTGTCTGGTTTGTTTTTTCTTTTTTTGTGTATATATTGTATAACATTTGGTAACACCAATAAAAAGCATCTTAAAATAAAAAAAGGAAAATGCAGGTCACCTCCCCTAATGTATCAATACTTGTACTTGCAAAAATGGTATCTGTGCATCCCTTTATTTATATTTATAAAAACAAAATGGTACATTAAAACCGAGATGTACAAGTCCCAGGTGCTCCTTACAAATGACAGCTGCCTCCTAACTTTTGAATTTTCCTCTAGTCTAGTCTTGGAGCTCGAAAAGTATCTGTACTTGTACAGAGTACTGTACTTGGTATCAGTGCATCCCTACTGTATATACACTGCTCAAAAAAGTAAAGGAACACTTTTTAATCACAGTATAGCATCAAGTCGATGAAACTCCTGGGATATTGATCAGGTCAGTTAAGTAGCAGAGGGGGTTATTAATCAGTTTCAGCTGCTTTGGTGTTAATGAAATTAACAACAGGTGCACTAAATGGGCAACAATCAGACGACCTCCAAAACAGCAATGGTTTTACAAGTGGTGGCCACTGACATTTTTTTCCCTACTCATCTTTTCTGACTGTTTTTCACTAGTTTTGCATTTGGCTAGAGTCAGTGTCACTACTGGTAGCATGAGGTGATACCTGGACACTATAGAGCAGGGGCGTCCACAATTTAAGATCTATTTTTTATAGGACCAGCTCAATGATATCTACCAACGAAAGGCAACGCACCTCCCGCAACAGAACACAGGTAGGTGCGAGTGCGATGAACGCACCACTATTGTGAATGGGCCCTTAGTCAACATTCCTCAGAGTGGAGCAGCTGCATGCTGTACTCTGTGAACCACGGCTGCTTACAGTGTCAGGAGCTTGGGTGGGACATAGCGCCACCTGCTGGCCACGCCTGAGAACTGCACCTGGCCAGCAGCAGCTGAGCTCCAAAACAAACGGAGCAGCCAAATATAACTTCCAATCGATCTACCAGAATTAGATGGACACCCCTGCTATAGAGGTTACACAGGTGTGGCAACTCCTCCAGGATGGCACATCAATACGTGCCATTGTCAGAAGGTTTGCTGTGTCTCCCAGCACAGTCTCAAGAGCATGGAAGAGATTCCAGGACACGGGCAGTTACTCTAGGAGAGCTGGACAGGGCCATAGAAGGTCCTTAACCCACCAGCAGGACCGGTATCTGCTCCTTTGTGCAAGGAGGAACAGGATGAGCACTGCCAGAGCCCTACAAAATGACCTCCAGCAGCCACAGGTGTGAATGTCTCTGATCAAACCATCAGAAACAGACTTCATGAGGGTGGCCTGAGGGCCCTGTGCTTTTCAGGGATGAGAGCAGGTTCACCCTGAGCACGTGACAGACATGAAAGGGTCTGGAGAAGCAGTGGAGAACGTTATGCTGCCTGTAACTTCATTCAGCATGACCGGTTTGGTTGTGTGTCAGTAATAGTCTGGGGGAGGCATATCCATGGAGGGACGCACAGACCTCTACAAGCTAGACAATGGCATCCTGACTGCCATTAGGTATCGAGATGAAATCCTTGGACCCATTTGTTAGACCTTACGCTGGTGCAGTGGGTCCTGGGTTCCTCCTGGTTCACGACAATGCCGGCCTCATGTGGCGAGAGTATGCAGCCACAACCTCAAGCATTCAGGTCCTCTGCATGAAATCTGTATGTGATAGAAGTTTGTGGAGAGTTGCTATAACTAGGAAGGGGGAACTGAAAACAAAGATGGTGTAGGCTTGGCTTCAGTGTGTAGGGGAGCAAATGACCTGTGCTCAATGTCCTGATTAAGGTGGAAAGTGGAGACTACCTTGGAAACAAAAAGGAAGTCCTGGGCCGCAATATCACCTTGTCCTTATGCAGAACCAAAAAGGGTTCCATGCAGGATAAAAGTTGCTAGCTCAGACACTCACCTAGCCAAGGTAATAGCTACAAACAAATATGACCTTGTAGGTCAGCGTAGAGGAAGGTTCCTGATAAGTTCAAACGGGGGCCTCTAAAGCACCAAAAGAACCAGATTAAACGCCATGGAGTCAAAGGGGATTGGGCTGGTAGGACCACATATGGGAGTATGGATAGCCAATGGTCTTTTAAAAACAGACTGGAAAGGGCAGATACTTAGACCTTGATGGTACTAAGAATCAAACATTGATCCATAAACTATGGAACAGTGGATCCATCCCATGGAGAAACTCCTGGGATGCAAGCCTCACATCAAAATACGCCATCCACATCTTAGACCTTGAACTTCAACAAGCAGCAGGGCCAATCAGTCCTTGGGACAACAGAATCAGAGAGTCTGGCAGAGCCCACCCAGAGGATTCTAAAATCAGAGGACAGCATGATTTAGGCTAAAGACATGGGGCACACTGCAAGCAGTCCCTGACCCAATTAGTGGAAAGGGTGCTAGGGGCACCAGATAAAATTAGCCTGTTTCCACCCAGCAACCAATAAAAATTAGTGCACTTCCGGTGTCCGGCCCAAAATGTCCTACAGAGTCTTCAGGGACAGGGCAAATGCAGAGGCAACGCCAACAGCTTTTGACCTGGAAAGTAATCAGCAGCCAATTTAAATAAGGAGAGTCTGCAAAAGTACCCAGGTGGAGCCCAGTGCGTAAGGGTCACCTCCAAACTCAAATGTCCAGTCCGGCAGGGTCCAGTTGCAATACAATTCAAAAGCCAGAATGAGGACGACCATGCCAGATAGCTTCGAACTAGTGGATAAAACCACGAGCAGCAATCAATGTAAGACGTCCATCCTCCTAGGACACTAGCAAATAAATGAAAGCTGCTGGTACTTGGAGGGGTTACACCGTAGGCTGGCACACATTTTCTTCTTTGTTTACCAACGTCCAATAGTCCTGTAGACAGTAGTATAACCCAAAGATTTAAGGTTTCCCGTTTGCCTTTAACGAAAAAGAAAGAAAACCCTCTAATCCTCAACCACTCTAAAAAGGGGGTCACAAAATAGCAATAGACACATGAACATGAAAGATGTTATAATTCTTTCCCACTCTATCCAATAAATATAAAAAAAAAAAAAATGAGAGAAGTCAGGGCCTGGCGTTCTTCAAACTCCTGGGTTTTCAGCTATTCATATTTTATGATAAAACAGTTCAAGCTAAATTGAGACGAAAATATTTACTGTATTTTTCCATGTAAAAGACCATACTTTTTCTTAAAAATATTTACCTAAAAATGGAGGGGCGTCTTACACACGGGGGGCCGAGAGGACTAACGTGGTTGCGAAGCTGCCGACACCTCTGCAAACTAGCCTCACGAGTGAAAGTTCCGATTGCAGAGACAAGCCCACAGGTTTCCTCCAATCATGAGCCTTATGTACCTGACGTCATGTCGCTGCGGAGAGCTTGTAGACAGTGCCCAGATGCAACAGGGAGGCCAAAAAAATGTCAGGAAACATTCCTCCCCCCGCCAAAACATACCTATACAAATGTATATGTATACATTTTCCCAGTTCCATCAGACCTATGAAAATGTTATAGAATAAGGAAATTAGCAAATGAAGCAATACACAGATTCACATATATAATCACGTGCTTGTCTTTATTACATTATTACAGGTCAATAAACTTGAACAACTGGGAGAGAGTAGCAGAACAAAGATGCGTATAGAGTGTCTGACGCATGGATCTCTCCCCCCAGCTCTGCTGTACACAGAGCAGTCTTTTCATAAAGTCCCTAACTCTCCACTGCACCACAACTAGTGAAGAGCAAAACAGGGGCAGCATCAGGGGGATGAGGACATCAGCTCTTAACATGAGGCAAGGGGGATGCTAAGAGATTCATCACCGGATGGCAATTAACCCAATATCCATTAATTTCTGTATCTTCAGAGCAATTCCTGGATTTTTCAAGTGTCTGCAGAGGGGAAAAAAAAAATAAAGCAGGTAAGCCATGAGGGTTTATTCTGTATCAGCTTGACGAGTTCTGATATTACTTGGAATGGAAAACCATTAGTAAATTAGATTAGAGAAAACGCAGATTTAAAAAAAAAAGGACTCACAGATTATAAATAAAGTAGTGAGAGCAATTAGCATAAACGCTGATTGCAGCCTCAGCTACGTTGAAGGCCTAATACCTGTACAAAGCATGAACTAACGCTTTATTTAACAAAGATCCAGCTGTCTGTTGGAGCCAAATCTGCAGATATTTGGGGAACTGCAAACGGTTTCCAATATGCCTTGCTGAACGAAGCAAGAGAAAGCAAGAGGAATTCTTCCTCTACATTTGGTCACCATGGGCCATCTTTAGGTCTTTGGATTGCTTCAAGTCCTTACTTACCCTTTACCTTAACCAGCACTGCATTACTCTATACTTGTGAATGTGCTTATCCTCAACTTTCAATTCCCTGCAGGAACATCGGTTTCTAGCCTCCTCCCTCTATCTTGTCAACCTTTCCCAAATTTTCATTGTTTCATGATCAAAAACACCCTTGTCCCCCAGCCCAGTCCGGCCCCAATTCCTGAAAAAGGATAAAGACAAGACAAAAAGCAAACCATTTGTGTATTTACTTACTCGCTCAGTGCCTGTGGGTCCTTCTGCATTTGTTCCAGTATCAGTCTCATTGCTGGATCACTCATAATCTGTTGCACTTCTGGATCTGACATTGCCCTGCGTTTCACATCTTCTGGACTGTCATTCCTGTGGTACTGTGACATCATGCACCTCTGGTAACCATCACTTGCTTCCTGTGTGTATACGTAAATCAGATTAGATCTGAAAATTGCTTCCTTCAACAGCATTTACATGTGTAATATGTCAGGCAAGTGCATACCATATCTTTTTTTTTTTTATAGCATTCTACAATTGGGTATCCAGTAAACAAGGTAGGCAACAAAAGGTTAGAAGGAACTGCCCTATCAAGTGTACAATGAGAGGTACACGGGCTCGACAACAAGACCCGAGACTATCCTTCACTGCTTCCTATAACCTTGTGACAGGTTTCCTTTAAATAATTCTTCCTCACTTACAACTGCAAAACGCATTTACACCTTTGCATCTGGTTCCCACCAATCAACCTTGTGGAACTACACTGAGTGGGCAGATTATTATGACCACCTCACGTTTGTAGGCAAATTAGCTATTTCGCGCTGAAGTTGCTAGAGGGCCAGACCCAGGGCCGGCCTTAGGGGTGTGCGAGCCGTGCGGCCGCACAGGGCGCCATGGCAACCAGGGCGCCGTGCGGCCGTCACAGCTCGTCCTGTGGGCGGCACAAAAGACATTACCTGCGTGTCATTATCATTCTAAATCAACATTTTCAGATTGATCAAGTGCCTAGCAAGCACTCTTGTAACCTGTTTTTAGCATTTTAGTTGATAGTGATCTGTCCCTTTTTTTTTTTTTTCCTCCTCAGTAAGGAAGTTGAAAGTATATTTAGTTAATAATATTTAATGAGAGTAGGGACTTGACCGTCCTAGGTGGTGGTGCGCCTAGATCTGACCGGATCCCTGGGAACTCCCGGGAAGGCGGTTAGATCGTGTATTGACATGGGGTCAATACCCTCGAAGTCGGGGTGGGAGGGGAACCTGCTCAAGAAATTAGTTTTTTGGTTGTTGTGTGTAAGTCTTGTAACTATGTTTTTGTTGTGGAAGGCCGGTATCTCTCTCCCCCTGATATATACTATAAAAATTTAGAAGAAAATACTTACTCCATAAAGGCACACTGAAAAAAAGGAAGACGACAGGATGATGGCTAAGACACCAGTTATGTTTGCATCTCACAATGTTAGGGGGTTAAATTCTCCAATAAAGAGGAAAATGGCCTTTCAGCATTACCACTCATTAGGAGTTGGGATTCTGTTTTTACAGGAAACTCATTTCCCGATAAGTTATCAACCCAAGTTTATGAATACACATTTCCCGAAGTTTTTTCTGGGCAATGCACCCGATAAAGACCAAGGGAGTGGCCATCTGTTTCTCCATTCAGACCAGTTTTCACTCTCTGATGGAGATTAGGGACCCAGGGGGTAGATATTTATTCTTGAAGGGACACTTGGAAGATAAGTTAGTTTCACTTATATCATATTACGCACCAAACTCTGCACAGGTCTCATTTTTTGGGGATATGCTAGATAAATTACTACCATATTGTGAGGGCGTAGTAATCTGCGCAGGAGACTCCAATTTAGCACTAGATAGCACTTTAGATAGAAATAGCTTAAAGGTAAGAGGGGTTACTCCAAGAAAGTTGGCACACACTTTGCGAAATTATTAAATTATCACTCATTAATAGATATATGGAGGGAATTAAATCCCACAAGTAAAGATTATACATATTTTTCACAAGTACACCAAAGTTATGCAAGGATTGATTACTTTTTGGTTCAGGCTTCCTCCGTACCTTTGGTATCTTTTGTTAAAATTGAGGAGGCAGCTTGGTCAGATCACTCAATAGTAATAATGGGATGTGAGGCACTTATAGATACAAGGAAAACACAATGTTGGAGATTGAATGAATCGTTGCTAAACAAAATAGATGCAAAAGGGAAATAAATGCACATTTAGAGAATTATATTAACGAAAATGAGACACCCGATATATCGGTCACTATGGTGTGGGCTGCCCATAAAGCTACGATAAGGGGCCGCCTTATAGAAATAGCGTCCAGAAGTAAAAAACGAGCAAACATATAAAAGAGCTGGACTCAGAACTCCAGAAATTGTCCAAAGCACATAAGGCAATGCCATCAATACAACTGCTAAAAGCAATAGAGAAAACCCACCTTGAACTAAACTTAATGCTAACTACAAAAGCAAAGAAGAGTATTCGGTGGTCGGAAAATACATTTTATACACAAGGGGATAAAATAGGAAAGCTCTTAGCGAATAAACTTGCCCCTAAAGTAAAGACTCACTCCGTCCCTAAAATACGCGGCTCGGGAGGCACACACACACTCAATCCACGTAAAGTACTTACGGAATTCCATTCATATTATTTAGACATATCGGGAACACACTCTAGCAACAGGTGATAGCTTGAAAGATTTTTTTTTAGACAGTATAAAGTTGCCAGGTCTCTCCCTAGAGCATAAGTTAATTATGGAAGACCCGATAATGGATTTAGAGATCAAGGCAGCAATAAAAAAAACAGACAAAACTTGGGTCGGCGCCAGGCCCAGATGGGTTGTCGATAGCATATTATAAAACATTTCCAGAGGTTTTGATTCCAAGAATGGTGAAGTTCTTTAATCATCTCAGGACGGGAGGGCATTTAGATCGAGCCCTCAATAGGGCATTTATATCAGTTATACCCAAACCTAATAGAGATCCCGGGGAGGTTTCGAACAATAGGCCAATATCTTTGATAAACAACGATCTAAAAATTTTGACTAAAATTTTGGCTAATAGATTGAAAACTTTTTTACCGACATACATACATACACAAAGATCAGGTTGGGTTTATAACAGGACGACAGGGACCAGACCAGACTAGAAGGGCAGTAGATATCATGACGTTGCTACATTCAAGCTGGGATGGGACTCCCACTCAATATGGTATGTTCCCATCAGTAGATCTTCAGAAGGCTTTTGATTCGGTCTCATGGAATTATTTATTTACAACATTGGAAAGATGGGGATTCGGTCCTTGTTTTAGGAGCATATTAAGAGCATTATACGACCAACCATTGACACAAATAAAAGATGCAGGGGTATTTGTCAGAGATAATACCGATATATCAGGGCACTAGGCAAGGTTGTCCGCTTTCCCCTTTGCTTTTCGCGTTGACAATCGAACCATTAGCGATTGCCATACGCGAAAACATAAATATTAGAGGAGTTAGATGTGGCCCGAGCGATCATAAATGCGCCCTATTCGCTGATGATTTATTGTTTATTACTTCGCCCCTGATAACATTACCCAATGCATTGAGACTATTGAATCTCTTCTCAAAGCTATCTGGATTGCGCGTTAACACGTCTAAATCTATGGCCCTTAATGTGAATCTTCCCGGGGAAATATGGTCTAGGGTAAAAGAAAATTTTACGTTTAATTGGGCAGATGAAGCGGTCCAATATCTGGGAATCAAACTCACAGCGTCCTTTCCGGAACTTTATGGTAGAAACTATTCTCCTATATATCGCCAACTAAAGGAAGAACTGGTTAGATGGAAGCATTTTAATCTGTCCTGGATAGGACGCATTGACGCCATAAAAATGACCATCCTTCCGAAAATACTATATTACTTTAGAGCGCTACCCATCGCAGTACCTAAACGGGACCTACAGAAATTGCAATCATGTATATTTAAATTTATTTGGGATCACAAGCAGGCCAGGTTGTCAAAGAAAGTATTGTATAACTCGAGACAAACAGGAGGATTAGGGGTTCCTAATCTATATCAGTATTACAGGGCTGCACGAATTGCACAGCTCTCTACGATTTATAATAAGGGGTACCAGCTGGACTGGATCTCGACGGAGTCTCGCTCTGCCTCGGGCTTATCGATTGACCAACTAAAGAGGATGACCCCGAGACAAAGACAGACGGTCTTAGCCCCGACGCTCTCGCACTCCCTACTAGTGTGGGATGGGGTGAGGGAGAGTGGGGAGTTTGCCTCAGGGCATACTCCCCTGGCAACTATCTTTGGCAACCCTAAGTTCGCACCAGGGCGGTATCGGGGGACGTTTCACTGGTGGCAGGACAAAGGGTTATATTGTATAGCGCAGGGGTTTAGGGAGCGACGCTGAGGTATTGCCAGGAGACTCTACATATGCCCCAAGCGGAACCGTTTCGATTCAGGCAGTTGCACCACTTTCTAGCGTCGCTAAAGGTCCCGGAGCCTGACAGACAGTTCACTACGGCATATGAGAAATGGTGCTTGCGGGAGGAGAGACAAAGGGGGGGGGAGGGTGTCTCTTTGATTTACTCTCTACTGATGGAGATGGAGGAGAAACTGCCTTATATGATAGCATGGGAACGAGACCTGGGAATTGATGTTCCTAGGGAGGCCTGGCAACGTTGCTGTGGGCGGGGATCCCTGGGTTTAATCAATTTAGCTTTGATAGAAGCAAACTACAAAGTGATGGCTAGGTGGTATTTGGTCCCTTCCTGGCTGGCTAAGATTTACCAGAGTGTGTCTTCAGCTTGCTTCAGGGGATGCACACATTTCGGGTACTATATATCATTTTTGGTGGCAATGCCCAAAAATCAAGCCCTTTTGGAATAGGGTATATGCGCTTATTTATAAAATCTTGAGGGTACATGTCACTAGGGAAGCTCAATATGCACTGTTGAACTTTCCGATCCCAGGGATTACTAAGGCACAGGACAGATTAATACATTTTTTCTTCCTGGCAGCTAAAATCAATATAGCGAAAGCTTGGAAGGCACCAAGTGTCTCCTTTAAACAGTTTAAATCAAAAATGTAATGGATCATGATACATGAGAGGATGAATAGTAGGCTTCAAGATAATGAAAAGAAATTTGAGGCAATATGGTCTCCCTGGATGAATTATAATGGCGTGAGAAACGATATATGAAGTTAGCGAGAAAAAGAAGGGGTGAAACACCCTGGACTAACATAAGAGCGTTATTAGCCACTCCTATTTGTACAGAAATATAAAGTAGTAATGACTATAAAGTACAAGGGGAAGGGGAATGAATTGTGCATTTTAATGAATGGATAATGACTACGCTATCTTTAGGGTAGTTTAAAAATAATGTACTGAACGCACTGATGGGTATATGCAGGTTGGAGATAAATGTTTTTTAAGCGCATACTTATCTACTTTCACTTCGCCCCTTTTTATGACTCATCTATGTGGATGTATATGGGGGGAGGTTAGGGGATGGGAGAAATGGTTGTTTTGGGGATTGTTTTTTTTTTTTTTTTAAAGTGTTTTTAGTGTTTGTGTATTCATGTTGTTATTTATATACTTATTATTTTTCTGTATATAAAGAAAAAAACTAATAAGGACTTTGAAATCTGAAGATATGGGTAAAACAACACGATTTAACAGCCTTTGATCATGGGATGATTGTTGGCACTCGGAGCAATGGAGCGAGTATCCGCAGAATTCGTTAAATGTTCAAGAGCAGCTGTTAAAAGTGTTTAAAGACTGGACTGTCAGCCGAAAATCTGGGTCTGAACGTGCGAATTGTGGCCGGCAGCGACTAGTCAATGTTAGGGCAGAACGGAGAGTGGCAAGACTGGTACAAGACAACAGAAGGGCAACAGTGCAGTGTCGGATTCCTCGCATCACCTTTCAACATCTCGTGGAGTCACGAGGCGGCCCAACGAAGTCATCTTGTGGACCAACGAAGTACTAATACACGGTCATAATAATCTGGCCACTCAGTGTATAATTATCCATGGATGGCAAACGGAACATGACCTTCTAGTGGCAAAGTCAAAAGACATTACCTGCGTGTCATTATCATTCTAAATCAACATTTTCAGATTGATCAAGTGCCTAGCAAGCGCTGTTGTAACCTATTTTTAGCATTTTAGTTGATAGTGATCTGTCCCGTCACCACTCCACCATATCTGACATTTGATTCTGATCATTTTATTTCCAGTTAATTGAATACAATGTATTAAAGCAATTTCTCATAATAATGCTGCAAAAGGCTAAACAGATTTCAGTATTAAAAAGTAAGTCTTTTCAAGTGTTTCCGTTATACATTTCTTAGAACAGAGAATAAAAACTATTGCAGTACTTCGGTTTGGAAAGTCAGCAAAAAGCTGTCATGCAAACAGGGAACAGGTGAGTAATCCACTAAATTGTACTAAAGAATGATTTTTTATTTCTAGCTCATCTATTCATATGAATAATATACCATTCTATAAATAGACAACCTCACTTTAATGTACAGTAGTCTAGTTGCTTGTCATTGACACGATTTCTCATTGTATAGCCAGTGTGTGCAGTGGGAGTTATTAGTATGCGGTGCATAAAAAGCACATTACTGTTAGAACTTGATTTGACTACAGTCAGCATATTTGTGTCCTATATTATGGAAACTGCCATGTAGAAATATTAGGAGAAATCAAAGGCCAACTGTACCTCGTCACTAGTGCTTATAGTATACATTTCCTTTACCCATGAAGGGCAAAGTAAAAGGTTTATTTAGGGTCTATTCTCCAGCAACACATACTCATCTTTCCTGAACAAGCACACATTCAGCCACCAGGAGCAAATGTCAAAATACCTGGCACTTCCAGGTATGAGTGAGCATGTCACTTACTCCCCTGCTGCCATGCAATAACAGTGCTAAATGCCTCCCGATTGGTCCAGTGCTTTCACATAGGGGTGGCGAAGCAGTGCATATCCCTGTTAGCTCTGGCACATTTATTTGTAAACTACACATTGCTTTTGTTTTCCTGGTCTGGGCAGCTAAACAGAAAAGCAGGGGTGCAAGGTGCATATATGCTGCCGAGGGGGCTTACCATAAAACTACTGTGATTGTTTTATAGAAAACCAATGCCAAGAAAGAGAAAAAAAAAAAAAAAAAGTGCCGTGTTGGATTTCCAATTTTTAACTATACAGTAGTAAATAACATGGTCACGCTACACGGCATACTGTACCTTGCATGCAGAGTCCAGATCCAATGCTTTCTGATAAACATCCATAGCCTTGGTGAAGTCTTTCATGGCCTCCAGTGCTGAAGCTTTGCGAGTGTAGCCCTTAACTAAATAAAAGAGATGACATTCCCCATTCAATTATTCTGTCCCCTAACACACCAGAAGTTGGTACATACAAGTTATAGGAGATGATAGCTCTACCATTAACTGAGCTCTACCATTAACTGAGAGCAACTCAAAAGTTCTCAAGTTACTAGCTAAAGAACGTTTTGCATCATTTCTCACGGAAGCCATATTGTAGAACAACATCGTGCACACGAGTCTGAGAATGTTTATAGAGATGTAAAACTGCATAGGCAGTTATTCCTAATCATCTCTTTCATTACAGACACACATTTTAACCTGTCTAGCGGTCAAAGAGATTACGGAAATCTTTACAGTTTTCAAAATACACAGGTACTCCGAGGAACAGAGACTTAAAATGCTTTATTTCTACATGGAGCCATCCCCAAAAAAAGTTGTGGTTAGAGTACTTACTGAATGCAGGCTCTAGTCGTATACATTCCTCACAGTCCTGTAAATGAAAGAACATTACTAGAAAGTTCACATAAAATGTTTGAGTCAAAAATTTTTTAAGGCTGGGTTCACACCTGGGCGTACTATAGGCACATTTTTTCATGCGCTTTTTAGTTCAGTGAAACGCGCGTTCGACGCTTGTTTTTGTACCTCCCTGGCGGTATGTTTTGTATTTTCCATCTTTTTTCCCGCCGGTTCTGCCCCCCCGCGACGCGGACTCTCGCAAGGAACCCGTAAGCGGCCGGAGGACACATCGGGGATCGCGGACAAGGTAAGACCTACGCTGTATTCCCGAGTGTGGCTCAGGGTTACCGCTTTGTTAACCCCGAGCCACACTCGGGAATATCAATGGCTACGCGCGGAAATACGCCCCAAAAGAAGCTACTGTACTTGTTTGGGCGCAATACGTTTTTCAGCGCGTTTCTGCGTGCTGAAATACGCCCAGGTGGGAACCATGCCCATAGGAAATTATGGGATTTCACTTGCTGAGCGTTTTTCAGCGCTTCGATCAGCGCTGAAAAACGCCCAGGTGTGAACCAGCACTGAAAGTAGCAGCACACTAGAATGTAAAAGGAACACATGGATATAAAAAGGAAAAACAAAATAGGATATAGGGCGTGTCAGTACTACCAAGTTCATTTAAGTAGTCTTAAAATGTCCATTTAAAAAAAAGGTGGAACTCCAAACGAGAAAGAAAAAAACCCAAAAACAACATTTTCTTTTTAAGTTGTGGAAGGGTGTAAACCTCCATCAGGTATTTACTGCTGTCCACAGACCCGTGGAGATTTTTCCCTCACTTCCTGTACTGGTAACCACTGTCACTGGGGTTCTAATCCTTTGCACTCTAAAATCTTTCAAGATTACAACTCCCCTTAAGTGACCAGAGTAAAAGCAGATTTTATTAGAATGTTCTCACTAATCACCTTAAGAGCAAGTTGAAACTCCAGCAGTTTGGTGTAGCATGCGGCTCGATTACTGTACAGTTTGGCATCTTTTGGATTCCTCTTAATTGCTTCTGAGTAATGTTTCACTGCTTGGGGGTAGTCTCCTACAGAGAAGGAAAAAACCCAAAACAAAATCACAGCTTATTAATATTAAATAAATACAATGGGGGGGGGGGGTTTATCATTGTAGTCCTATATTCTGCGACAATAAAATCTGTCGCAACACAGAATTTGTCCGCAATGTGCAACTGAATGAATCTAGTGTTACGGTATATGGGTTCATGAATATGTAGTAGAACAGCAGGTCGCACGTTTATTCATTTTGCTCGCACGGAGCTTTTAGAAGTTCGGCTACTGTGCGTGCTCTATGACAGAAGATTTGAGAAGATTTAAGGATGGGGATAACAAAGAGAAATGAACGAGGGTGGGAGAGACACGAGAAGATGAGGGTTACATGAGTAGGAAAAGTTTTCAGGAAGAGTGTGAAACATGGGGGAGACATTGCAAACAGGGAAGACTCTTCTACTTTGTATCCTTTGATCTATAAATGATCTCTTTATCCAGTCTCTGCAGCGGTTGCAATAAGAAGCAAATGCCGGCAACATCTCCTCATGCTGTGTGCCAGTGCACAGTTTATGGCTTTCCCGAACGACCACAGCATAACCTCTGACTCTCTTTAACCCTTTCACATACCAGTCACTAATATGGGAAGTCAAACTTTAGACAGAAAGGGGAAGGGTACGTAGAGCTGTTTTCCACAGGCAAGGGTTATAGAAGGATTGAGAAGACTGACAGGATAAAAACAGCCGGCACTACTTTAAGAAATCCTACCAAGGACTTCTTAACATGTGACTGTTCTTTGTAGAATTTCAGACGCAGAGGACTATCGCAGATCTGCCATAAGTGTGTGGATCATGCGTCTTGTCGCTATTTGTATCCACCAGTCGCAAATACTTTAAGTGTTGTAGCGGTGGAGGAAAAAGAACGCAAAATCATTTGCTCTCCTTTAGCATTATTTTACAAGATGCGACTGCAAGAATAACAGTCACAAACCCTTTGATAAATTCCTGCCACAGAATGTATATCTTCATAGACCAAATTGTGATACAATATGATTGATAAGAACCAGTGTGGCAATTTAAAAAAAAAAAAAAAAGCCAAGCTTGGTATACAAAAAACAGTGGTTGCCAAGATCAATCCTTTCGCACCATGACGGAGCTTCAGATTTTATGCAGTTACACCTTCAGTTTTCACTCTCATAGAAATAGCACAGGACATACAGAATATCGTAATATCATTTCACAAAATTAAACCAACTCTTTCCTATTCAGAAAGGATAATTTTTTCCTTACATTTATATGTGCCTAGGATTTATAGAAACTATGATTTGACTACACCATTTAAATAAATTTTTTTCACATTCTTCAAGTCCATCATGCATGGTATAAATATTCCCTAATGTAAATGATAAAGATGTTAGGATTCACAGAGGAGTTCAGTGAGCAGACTGTTGATAGCACACAAGCGCAAAACTGACAGCCAGTTGTCTGTGGCAGACAATGACAGCACTTGTACTGACAAGTAAATTTGCCTACAAACCTATATGGCTGGTCAGACATGCATGCACAGTCCGATTGCCCCTAGACTTGCATGAGGTGATGGATATATGAAAAAGAAATGTTCTGTTGATGTGAATAGACAGGGATGGGGGAAGTAGATGAGCAGAGCTGGAAGAGGCTGTCAGCACTCCTTATTTCATAAGGGAACAGCAATTAGGGTGGTTTTTCAACCTGCCCAGTCTATTCTTCTAAAATGAAATGCCTACCTTTTTGAAAAGCTTCATTGCCTTTACTTTTCTCCTCAAGAGCCAGTTCAGGATTGATGTAAGCAAGGCGTTCCTGCTCCTTTAGAATTTTCTCTGCCTAAAGACAAAGCCAGATGCAGGCATCATTAACTCACTGGCACAGCATCTTCATGAACATCCACCAAGGTGATTTTTGTTTCAAGTAGAGGACCAATATTAGGAATGAAAATTACAAAGCACAACTACTGTACATTGCGTGCACTGTTCATCATAAAAGTTACATACTGACAAATGTAACAGCATTTCATAAATATGTCTCCACACATGCTGACCTGCTGACATTTCTTGAGAACCTCTGGAATTCTGTGCTCTGCCAGAGATTTGTTGTAGAACTGAATTGCTTCCTTGTACATGTCTTCTTTATAATAGGAGTTCCCAATGCGGGCATATGCTCTGCACAATAGACAAAAGAGTAGGTTATGAGTCACTGTAGCTTATGTAGATCGCAGAATGTTGAAATGTGACCGATGTGTTAACTTTCGTAGAGAGGAGAAAACAATGCCATAAACATTAGCAATGCCACCAAGTTACAATTAAAGTGGTCTGTTGTGACACTTTAAAAGACAAGCTACTGTAGGGGCTGCACACATCAATACAGTCATGGCTTAGGGGCCTGCAATGCAAGGAAACTGGAAAAAAGGATAAAGCGTATCTAAACCTTCCAAAAAAGGAAAATATTTTGCATCTTACCAGTCTTTAGATTATGTGGCTTTACATTTTTTTTTATGCACTTGATGAAAATGTTTTGGCCTAAAAAAATAAATGCAGCTGCAACATCTAAGGAGTGGTAAGCTGCAATATATTATACTTGCCTTTTTAGATTTAGATACGCTACAAGATAGTTCTCTTCCTAGATATGATAGAAATCTGTCACAAATTTCTCCAAGTGTACCCAGCTTTAGATCTAGGAAGACACGCTTCCAAATTCTAAGACTGCATTGGAAATTAGGACTTGGAATTTTTAAAATCAGCATTCCTCTTTCTGGAGCAAAACTCATTGAGTCTATAAATGAAGATAAGCCAAACAAGGGATGTAACTTGGGGATGGAAGGACAAACAATGGATATAACTTGTCTAAGCACTTCTATGCAGCTGAAAGTTAAAACAACTTCCTATCTCTTGAGCACACTTACTTTGCAATCAGACGATAATCTTCTCGGTTTTCTCTTCCTACTTCAATTGCTGTGTCACATAATGCTCTGCATTTATTGTAATCTCCTTTTTCGAAATGAACAGCTAGATAATAAAGAACAAAAAAAACAAAACTGATCAGCAACATTCATGAAGTATATATCACTCACTAAAAATTTCATCAACAAGTGGTAACACCTTAAGTATATCAAAAGCCAAAACATTTTTTTTTTTTTTTTTTACACAAAAGAGCATGGAGTGGTTTAAACCCATGCCAAGTTTTTTTGCCATCTGTATCCCACTGAACAACAGGAAGTAAGGGAAATGGCCTTTTTTTGGATTATTACTCACTTTGAGTCCCAGTGACTGGACATAGTGAGCAGGAGAGAGAGAAAGTAAATCTTCCTAACAGGGATTGAACTCCTCACCAGAGATACACTTTGATAGACATGCTACAGAGGAACTTACCGGCCTGGTTTGTAATATAGGTCATGTTAGCTGGATCAAGTTCTCTGGCTTGTCCATAATGTTTTAGTGCAGTGTCAAAATCTTTTTTCTTGTACGCCTCATTGCCTAGCTCTTTCTCCATTTGAGCCTGTATAGAAAAAAACATACAAATATTAAAGCACTGTATGGAAAATAGAATGGCCTCAATGATCATTAAGGAAAAGCCGTACTAAACTAAGAAAGTATAATTTATTCTTTATAACCCAACAAATGGTAAATAGGAGATGAAAAACCTGTGCTACAAAAAAAAACAAAAAAAAAAAACAGGGCCCCAGACTCTCTAGCAGCGGGTCACATGACCAAAGCCAAAAACTGACATACATGGGCTTTGGTCATGTGACCCACCAATGCAGAAAGCCTAGAGTGTGACAGTTTGTGCAGCACAGATACAGTATGTAGTTTACCTCCTATGTTACCTAATTTAACAGTAAAGAATTAAGAAAAGGATGACAATTCCTAGCTGCATACATAAGCATACCTTAAATATGGGTCTTTAGAAATAAAAGTTAACTAAAATTAAGGGAAAGGAAAGTAAAAAGGAAAGTACAATTGGTAACAAATAGAAAAGAATTTGGTGTAAAGCTGTGCATCCAGTTCTGAGCTTACATGGTTCTGTTCTGTCTGGCAGAGAAGGAGGCCCCATTGTTTTCTCCGCTGTAGTTAAAGACTTATGGGTCTTCTCCCCAACATGACTGAGCAGTGAAGAAAAACTATCACACTGATCAACTCAGCTCTGTCATTTTGCTTCTTCCTCCTATAAGCATGTCTCTTGTCAGAACATGAACTGATGGTTCCTTATGCTGCTAGTCCCAGTCTGAGCTCTACTGCAGAGGACTGCCATTTGTGGATACCCAGTAAATAAAATTATATTATGTGAATGAGAACATGTTTATAAAAGAAAAAAAAAAAAGAAGTCCTAATCCCAATTTGGCTGCAAAAGTGGAAATACACTTTAAGATGGAAGAAGGAAACCCCCGTGAGAAGGGCTCTCTATAGAATAAGGCTGCTAACACAGAGACTCGCCTCGTAGAGGTAATAGTAACAAGGAAGGCGACCTTGCGAGTGAAGTCAGCCAGGGGCATATCATTGGGCTCAAAGGGTGGCCTCTGAAAAGGGAAGATGCTGACAGCAGTGTACAGATCCATCTGCTTTTGAGGGAAGGACAGCAATTTTAAAAGCATGAATCAGGATAGCCAAGAGGGCTGACAGATGTCCTGAGACACACAAAAGAAACTCTATCACAGGATCTGAAGGCTTACTCGCGGGAGCTTGTGCTTTCTTTTTTGGATAACTCTTGGGTGTATGCTATCCTTCAGTGGACTTCCTCGATGTAGGTGTCCAAGGGAGGCACGAAAAAGGTGTTTTCCCATCAAAGGGCATCCTCTCAAGCCACTTGTTGCAAGGAAGTTTCGCAGATCAACATTTGAGGCAAAGAATGCTCCACAGGTTTACCAAAAGAAGGCTCATCCTAGGAATTTGACAAAGAATATGCACTGATCCATCCATGCTATAGCATAAGGCCACAAGCAGAAGCTTCAGGTTTTGGGAGGATAGAAAGGTCTGTCAGAATGGATCCCAGGTCTCAAGCCACGTGCTTAGTCCAGACAGCAAAGGTGTGGCACACTGGCATGGTCATGACAGCAGGTTGCATACCAGGACCATCCAAAGAGAACAAAGCTTTGAGGAGGGCTTCCAACTTTTTATCTCTAGAGTCCTTAAAAACAAGAACCCCTCCTCAATAAAAGGTAAAAGTGCTTGGAAAGAACAAACTATCTTTTAGGTTGAAGCCAGTTACCATTAAATACAGGCTCAAGGATAGAGTGAACAGGGAACACCTTCACAGGCACTGGCATTTTTTTTAAAAGGAACCTAGGCTGGTGACCTTAGAACAGGCAGAAGCAGGCTGTGCAAGGCAAGTGTGCATTGCATGAATAAGGACTGAAATTGTATCCCTTAGCTTGGTAGAGATATCAGCAGATTGAGCCTCCTTCTGTTCTGCATCTCAATCATCACCCGCATCCCCCTCTGTAAGTGAAGCAGCAGCTAGAGAAAAAAAAAAAATCAGACACACTCTGGAAGAGTAGCTGAGGAGGGGGGCGCTTGTGTCCGCTATGGTCTGAGGCCTACAAAAGGGCCAAGAGCGGCTTGCCCATAAATTACAAACTCCTCCAGGAGTTGGAAAAGTGGAGACCCAGAGAGCAATGAAGGTCTCAGGTGAAGGAAGTGACTCAGACTGGGAGAAGAGTTCATGTCTGCCAAGGGCAAGGCCTTTTAGGGAAAAATTAATGACTCTCCCCCCCCCCCCCCCCCCCCCTTCTC